CTCCTGACTGTACCTACAGTCTATTGAGATATTTGAAATATTTAAGCTCTACTGCACTGATAATTTTAAGCGTTAATACGTTAATCCAATTTCCTTTCAAGTCCGGTGAAAAACTTTGCAAGAAGTTTGAAATTTTCACCAACTTCATCCTTCACTGAAACTTTCCTTTTAAACTTTTCGTACACGATTTCACAGATCAATACAAAATTATTAATAAAAATTAAACTGTCCGTTGTAAGACTAAGAAAGACAAAAACTGAATTTTAAAACGACTCTTTTGGTCAAGTATTTGCTATTTAATGCTTACGATCTGAACATTTTTAGGAGTAATTGTCGTAAGAAATACCTGACACCAACCGTTTATATAGGGGTTAACAGAAACCACAAAAGTGTTCAAATTCAATGGAACTAATCAAGTGATCAACTGATCAAACATCAGAATTATAACTCCGGAGTAATTTTTATAATTTATTACAATACATAAACATTATTGCGGTAGGATATAGCAGGCTTTAACTTACTCTTATTATAACTGCCTGCAATACCAGCGCCTTACAGAAAATGGCAGCCAAATTTCCATAAGACGTGTCGATCTAATGGAATGTTAATGCAGGTCCTAAGAATGAGTGCTTCGGAATTAAAACTTGTCTAAATATGTGGTTTTATGACATGATGACAGCCCACATGGAGCCACATGTCAAAAACAGATCACAGAACAGACATATGGAATACATACATATCTATTGCCCTTATCTTCCTGCTTTGAAAATAATGGAACTCATGATCAGCACGAAGCTGCTAAACATTATTAAATTATTAAGTACATTGAACAGTGATTGAACTGGTAATCTACATTGCAATCACCGTTGGACTTCCACCGCTGCTAGTTCAGGTGTGGCTGTGACAATCAACCTTAATATGGCAAAGTTCGATCGAATCTGGGACTTTTTGCATCTTACAGATTACCTGAGAGACTTTAAATATGGTTCGCTAGTTTTCTGTACATCCCTTTATCCGTATATCTTTATCATTATGATTCATCTTCATCATACATCTGTACTTCCTCAAAACATTTTACCTTTTATAATATTAGCAAGATAACAAGTAGGAGTATCAGTGGGAGCGATCGCATCTAATGCACATTAAACCTGCGTCCGCGGGGCACTGTCTTTATCAAACTTCACAGCCACAGATATTTGTAAAAACCAATTTTTGCTCAAGACTGTAGTATTAAATTATTTAGATTTACAAAGCTTTATATTTATATATTAAATAAAATCATATTAACCAAAAACACGTGTGCGTGTAGTACTTTCTATTTTCTATTAGTAATTTCTATTAGTAATAATTGACCTTTATTGAATTTAATGAGTTGAGCTAAAGCTATAATTAATCTAAGCACTTGTTTAAAAATAGATTTACAGAGGCAAACAAAAATGATTAGACTTTTTAGAGTAAGCATGAAATTACGTTAGAAACATTGCTATTTATTTGTTTTTAGGCGTAAATTTTTATGACAATAATGATACCTGATGATTCTCTATTGGATTTTCCAAAGGAAAATAAATTTTCACAAAAAAGGGTTAAGGTACAATTCATAATTAAAGAGTAAAATTTTTGTTACAAATATTTCGTACTAACTAAAATCTAAATATCTTCAACGTTCGTCTATAAAGTGTTACAAAAACCAATAAACTCCTGTTTCAAAGAGTTCTCAAACAGTTACACAGGCTATTTGGAACTAATTCTTTACCTTTTTTTTACCATAGAAGCCAAGAAATTTAATCGTCTACAACTGTAAGGAGTGTTTACTCACCTCCCATTTACATTATTGATATTATTTTCTTACTTAAGTTTTAATTCTCTTTTTAATTACATAACGTTGCATTATATATAATAAGATCTAAGATTTTCGCGAGTTTTATTCATTTAAATGAAACTAATATTTTTCGTATTATACTATGCGACTATATTTTTGTAAAAAATTATGTACATACTCCCGACGCGACGTTTCGGCTACTTTTGAGCAACCGTGATCACGGACAGACGAGACGATATCTCGTCTGCCCATATGTAATTTAAAAAAAATCCGAAAAATATTATTTTCATTTATATTATATGTATGTATTATAAAAAGCGTTACTGAATTAATAACATAAAATTTTCTTGTGGGGATTCCTATCAGTAACACAAAAATAGTTAAACGATACGATAAATAAAATAAACAATCTAATCAAAATGACATGACTTATTTATTACTTGCCACTTAGTCATAGAATGAATCATGTAACATTATCATCTATTAATCGGTTCTGTTTATCTTTGGTAGAATTAATTGTTAGCATTGCTGAAAGTCATTTGAAACTTATAAGTATTCCTATAATGAAGTTAAGGCTAACTTAAAACTGACATACTAACATATGTACTCACCACTTTTATGTATGTATTTCTTTTAGATTCTTAATTTAATAACTTACTTTACTGTAGTAAATTCTCTTGCACGCGATAAATCGCTTCCATAAATAAATAGCATGATTTGTGTTATAAGTTTCAGTTACATGTTTCATTAACAAATATTAATTTACATATTTATTTTAAAACCTTCATATAGTTCATTAAAATTTTGATTATAAATTTTATATAAATACACAATATATTTACGACTAAAGATGAATCATTATCTATAGTTGTATACATGCTGCTTTATAGCTAGTGTGTAAGTATTCTATAATTCTTTTCAATGTTTTTATTTTCTACGAAGTACTATAATAATGATTCTTAATTTTCAACTCCATGTTTTATGTAGAAGGAGCAGAGGTAAACCGATAATAATAAAATTAAACAAGATCAGTATATAAATATACATAGATAATGTTTTAAAATTCAATAGAATAGACTACATTTTCATTGAAAAAATTCTAAATATAAATCGATCTATTAAATTTAAAGGATTTATTGCAACGACAAAATTTATAAAATTCTTGTTCTAAATATATGTATCTTTAATATTTATTCAGCCTTTATATTACTTCTGAAATGTATTTTTGCTTTCTATTATCGTCGCAAAACAGAAAAGTGTAATTAGATATTTTACCTTTTTGGATATCGTCTTTTATTTATTTAAAAGCAATCAATCAGCATTATTATGAGATATGTTATTTGAAAACAGACGCATCTGTTTTTAAATCGATTTCTTTCCCGATTCATAAAATTCTACTATTTTATTTACTCACCAAACGAATACTATATCGCAACAAGGAAACAAGTTTACCCCTTTATAATCATCCCCGCCATCTTTTTCTACGAACCCAATACATATATATTGTTGATTTTCATATTTTTTTACATTCTATACAAAATATTATGGAATATTACAATATGGTAATAAGAGAAAACATTCTATAGAGTTAAAAATAAAAGAGAGCAGAAATGGTATGATAAACTTCATAAGAAAACGATGTAAAATAAACCCTAAATCATTGCCATAAAGAAGAAAATACTTATTTTTTAAAAATTGTTTCATAAAATAATAATATAATAAATATAACTAAGCAAGCGATGTCTTGGGACCCGAACGCTTTAAAAGTTTAAAGATTACACCCGTTTTATGTGTCTTCTGGGAATCTAACAATAGTCAAATTAAATGCTTGATAAATCAAAAATAATTCCTGATTAAATTAGGTTAACACCTACCTTTCTTTACAACAACAGCTGCACTTTAATCTTAGGCCATATTACATTAATTATTTCATGTAACAAAAATAGAGTGAAACTATAATCTTAAATCAACCTAGGCAAAAGACTATCTATCAGTTCGCTATTTGTAATTTTACTACGTTATAGAAAATCGGCTTTTTTTAAAGTATTTGACTGAACCATATACTTCATATGCAAAGCATTTACAACACCTTCATGTTGACGGTTCCTTAGGAGTGACGCTGAAGCATACCATCACATAAAAAGAGAGGAAATAAGGTCGTACGTAATTATAAAGATTATTTTACATTACAATTATTTCTTTACTGTTTAACAATTCGCTGACATTACTTAACTGCAAATAGACGCCTTAATTTTAACATTCATCCCATAAGATAAATTTTTGACTATGACACTATGAAATCAGCTGTAGAAACACAATATTTTGTAAAATTTCGATAACATTGATCATGTTTATACAAATAAGTATGTTTAATTAAATCAAACTTAAATTATCTCTTGTATTTTTCATAACGTACCCGTGTACACCTGCATCAAAATTGTCAAAAACGAGCTAAAAAGTAGTCAATTTAGAGCGTACCTCATAATTTGCAGCTGACATGACAAACCGTACGTTGCATGGGACATCCATAAATTCACCTGAACGGTGATGCTTTCCATTTTGGACTTTTTCAGCAACCATAAGCGTTTTCTAGATTGCAGTCTTGAAAAGTGGCTCGTAAGCGTTGCATGCTATAATAAAATTAACTTTCTGTAACAAATTTAGATAAAATGGAAGGTAGAATTTCTAATGAGCTCAATATTATTTGTTTATTTAAAATAAATAATTTTATCATAACATATTTGATATTTTGAAATTTGTATCTACTTTGATTGGTGAATACTTAATTTGCATTCAATTCATTTTCATCTTATTTTATTACATAATACATAGGTATAAGTTGTAAAATAATTTAGAATCTAATTAATGTGTTCAAATTATAGTCTCTATAGCAATAATTGATTTTTATTTGATTATGGAGGATAAGGATTTTACAAGTCAGTTCCGCAATCTATATAAATTAATAATAAGAATTAACTTATAGATTATATAAAAAATACAAACACAAAAACAATGAATACAAATTCATTGCAAGTCATCAGAAACTAAATATAAGATAAGATAATAGTGGAAAAGATAAAATAAATCAATAATCTATATCCACGTACAATGTAAACTTGCCATTTTCGCTTATATCAGAGCACAGAATTATTCAATATTTAATGAAAAAATAAACCTTATAATGGAAAACAGTGATAAAACAGAAAAAACAATATCTAAAAAACAATTTGCAAGTATACATATGAAGATTCAAAATAAATATGAAGAAATGCAGAGGAAACTGGAAAAGTCTCGATCTATGGATTCGTTGACTTGTAATTGTTTAAGTAAGGAAGACGAAAAAAAATGTGCAAGTGTTTGTGATTTAGGTTCAATAACGAGGGAAGAAAATTTACTTGACGAAATAAATAATCATGTGCAACACATAACAATACTAGATACAAATCAAGAGAAAATAACTCGTGATAACATTGCTTATGACGAACCTATTGTTGCTAAATCTGAATCCATATCAAATATAAGTGAAAAGTGTGACAGCGAATGTGAAAGTACAAACGATTATGTTTTTTTTAATAAACATTATTTTAAAACGAGCCTTGAATCGTAAGTATTATATATTAGTTACACTTTAAATTTAAATGTTTCTTTACAAATATTTCTAAACTTCAAGATTGAGTGAAGTTGCAAAAGAGGATAGTGACGAATGTGAATCATTTACACCTCAGCCACGTACTCTTCGTAGTAGAATAGAATCACACCTCAGAAAACGACAGCGGGAAGAAAAATTCACTAAACCAAAATCAAAAGAGTCTAAAAATAAAGTTGATAAAGTAAGCATTGATTTTATTAAACATTAGTTTATTTCAAGAATATTTTTAGTGAGTTATTACACTAAAAAATATAAATGCTTATTATTATAATGTACCTATACCAAATGTTGTTAGGTTTCGCATTTTAACATCTTCTTTATATGCTCTATTTCAGTATATACTATCTAATGCAGTAGAAAACGGGAAAGTTAAACCATTGAAAAAGATGAAACAGGCTACTGTGACTATTGCATTGATTGAAGTTACGGGTTTCGAACCGACCAAACTAGAAGATAAACCGCGTGTTTTAATGTTTCGATTTAGGTAAATAATATTTTAATTGATTAATAACATATAATTTACTTCCTTTAATACATTTTTATTCATCCAGATTAGGTACTGAAAAGCTTAAATCAAAATTAATTAAGAGCCACAAAGACGTAGTTCCAGTTCAAGAAATATTTAATTTAAATTTATACGACAACGACAGTCTACTGGAGCTCACACTTTCTGAAAGAGATAATATAATTTGCAGGTAACAAATATTATATAAAATTAAACATAAAATCATATTTTTTGTAAATTCAAAATAACAAAATTTACCATTATACTATGCAGTAAAATAGTACTTAAATATTCATAGAAAATACTATATCTTTTTTCAGAAATACAATAGATTTAAACGAATTAGAAACAGAAAAGACGCACAGAATGCGTATAAATTCAGATTATGAGCTGAAAAACATTCAGATTTTTCTCCTTCTTACAATAAGTGGAACATTAAACAACACGCTATATGGTATGGACGAAACGGAGATGAGAAATAAAGATTATTTTCTAAGAAAAAAATATGTATGCTCATTTCTGCTAACACTATATTATTATTTATTGATAAACTACCCTCCATTATAATTCTGTATAATAATATTCAGTAGAGTATAGACTTATATGTAGACCTACGGCAACAATTTTTTTCTATTTCATTAGCATTCCATACATATAACATTTTAAACATGAATCGACTTTTTTGGTTTAGCTCCAAAATTTCAATAAGTAACAATAAGTGGTTATTTTACAAATACTCTTCCTCACAACTTAAATTTTTCATTTTATTTTCTCTTTCACGGATTATAGTACAGATAGTAATTTTATTTACAGGCTTGGTATCGTTTGTGTGGACAGTTTTCAAACATCGGCTCTCTTAATGTAATAGTCTATGGAGCGAAGGGTCTATCCAGCACCGACTGTTTTTGCATCCTCAATCTAAACAATGAAAGAGTACAAACCCAAACTGACTATAAAACTAACGCCCCTAGTTGGATGAAAATCGTCACATTGTAAGAATTCTGTTCCTTTTGAAACCTCTGTTAATACAACTTTAAAACTCTTTCATTTGTTACAGTACTGTTACAGATATAACTTCAGTTTTAGAAGTTATAATTTATGACGAGAAAAAAAACGACGAGGTCGGAAGGGTAGCGATACCTTTGCTTAAAGTTAGGTGCGGAAAAAATTGGTATGCTCTAAAATGTTGCAATCTTAAAGATAGGGCAAAGGGTAACAATCCTAGGATTCTTCTAGAAATCAATCTTGTTTGGAATATGGTAAGTTAATATTTTAATAAATATAAAAAAGTATACTTAGGTGGATACTAAGAATTCTTTATTATCTATTTACGGGAAAGAGTTTGTCAATTATTATAAATGTATGCAATATTTTTAAACCGAGTGAATCAATTAATTTTTTTATGAGAATATATATAAAATATGCTTTATTTTCAATACCTAAAAAATATATTGAAAATAAAGTAATCAAAAAACATTTAATAAATATCTTACAGATTAAAGCAGCGATTCGGGTGATAAATCCAAAAGAACCTAATTATCTACAACAAGAGGAAAAATTAGACAGACATGTTTTTGCGAGAAACTTGTCTAGGGCCAAAGTCGTTACCACTTGGATAATGAACGCATTGGAAGTATTCAAGTAAATGCTACTTACTTCTTTAAACTTTATATTTACTATATAACTTTATTATGTTTATTAACTTCATGCATCATGCATTTACATATGCATGATCTGTGTTAAAATAAATTTATAGACTTTAATAGCATTTTCCCAGGACGTGTTTTCAATGGGAATCAATGAAATTGAATGTAACAGCGCTAGCATTATGGCTGACTTTTTGTTATTATTTCAAACTATGGATGTTACCTCTTCTGCTGCTTATACCTTTTATGTGGTACAAACCAGATCAATATACTGTTTTTAATTGTAAGTTTCTCTTCTGTAATAACTTGGAGGTTGTTCAATATTGGATATTTATAATTACTATAATGTTACACGATTTTTTACAGGGAAAAGTAAAATTGTTAAAGAATTCAGTTCAGCCAATAAAAAGGAGGAAAAAGAAAACAAGGTCTGTTTCTGAAACCTTTTTTTTTTAAATTTCAATTATGCTTATTAAACTCTTAATTATTTTTAAGGAACAAGACAAAAATGTTTCAATAAGACAGAAAATTAATCACCTCCAGGAAATCATACAATCCATACAGAATTTAATTGGCAGAATAGCAGATTTAGGGGAGAGCGTTAAAAAGTTGGTGAAATCTTAGAATATTTTGTTTCTCTAAGTGATTTCTTTTGTTTGTATTATTTAAAGGGGCTTTTATTTCAGTTTATTCAACTTTACGCTGCCTTTTGTGAGTTCGCTGGCTATTGTTATGCTGTTAGTTAGCGCCTTAGTAATGTATATAATACCATTCAATTACATCTGTATGTTTTGGGGTAATTATCAATTTATATTATTTAAAACTTGACTGTTCATCTATTTTTTTTTATTAATATATTTAACTTTTGAAATAAAATTTTGTTTATTTGGTTAGATATTGAGATATATATTGATCTTCTGCCTGCTTTTTGCATCGATATTTTTCCAGGAATAAAGAAATTTTTGTACAAAATATTCCGTCCGAATCGTATACCGAACAATGAAATAATGGATTTGCTCTCTAGAGTACCTGATGACATACTTGTGGTAAGTTAATTGATGTTTATATTTTAAAAAAGTCATATATTTAATTAAATATTTTACAATTTATTTCAATATTTTTTCAGAGTAAATATGAAGAGTTGCCCGTAGCAGATACGTCTGAAGATAAAAACTGTGAATGAATTAGATCTGATAAATTAATTTAATTTTTCATGTTGTGTTGTTAATTATTCACTATTGATCTTATCATTTATATTATATTAAATAAGATATTGCAACATGTAGATCTTAGCTACAAACTGTTTGAAATATTTGTTTAAAAGAATTTTAATAGGATTGTTGTGTAATAGGAATGAAATGTTAATATTATTTATGAGAAGCTGTGTTTATAAGTTTATTGAGCAACTTAATTATAAAATACTATTTGTATCCATACGATGTTTTGTTCTTGCGTCACTGGACTTCAAGAACTATAGCTATTTAACTGGGCTGGCTATTTTCATATATTTCTTCCTACTCTTTTTAAATTAACACTCTTGTAATATTTCAACGTAGTTTTGACTATTCTATATTGTGTATGTGCACATATACAAATATGTTAAATACAATACGTAAACATGATTGTGTGTCTGTGTGTGTAGCATTCGTTATTTTATAGTTGATAATAAGTTTATGGACTCGTGTGATTACTACGAATTTGAATCAACGCCAAAACAACTACAGTTTTTATAATTTTCAGTCTTCCATCATTAAATTAATTGTATGGTCGTAAAATATTAATGACAAACTTTAAGATGCTGCCTGTTTTATAAAAGCGATATTGCTAGATTCCAAGACGTTTTGTAATACCTTGACATCAAAGTAATTCATCAATCAAAGAACACGATATTACTAATGAGATCATATGATGAATAAGATTCATTTAAACAATGTTACTAGGGAGGTGTAGGAAAAGATATACCTAATTTCCAGAAATGTTAGATCACATGTATATAAATATATTGTACACACCAACGCATAAATGAATTAAGTAAAAGAAAATGGATGACTATAAGATATATTTCTTTTATTTATAAACTACACCTTAAATTCTATTCCAAATAAATATAAAACTATTATTAAGAATCACAGGCTAAATAAAAATAACATACAATAAATTTGCAATGCAAATAAAGTATTTTTAGACAATCATGTCCGATCCGAGCCTTTCAAATTCATTAGCAAAGTAAACCATATCCTTGTGGTCAAGAGCAGAGTTTTGAAAAACGATACGGAAAAAGTTCACGAGATCACCTTGTGGCTGATACGTGACCATCATACTTCCCTCTTTTATCATCCGTTCTTTTATTTTAGGCGCCACCTTATGTAATCTTTCGTAATAATCAGCATCATTCTCGCATCCGCGCAGACATTTAGGAACGTACCAGAACATAATGTTGGTGCATTGCGGTTCTGCTATAACAAGCTGGAAGCCTTCTCTTTGTTTGATGTGATCAAGAAAATATTTTGCATTATCAAATAGCTTGTCTATGTGTTTTTCGAAACCCTCTGTCCCTTTTGCCTTCCACATGAACCAAAACTTCAAGACGTCTGCTCGCCTACCACATTGAATATGTTTATCACCGGTATCGTATGACGTATCGTAGAATTTATCTTTTTGGAAAAGATACTGGGCGTTCGAGGAGTGCCCTTCGCTGAGCACCTTTTTGTGCCTGGTTAAAAAAGTAGAGCATTGTTGTGGAGCTGCCAGAAGTTTATGTGGATTCCATGTAACAGAATCGGCTCTGGAAATAAGAAAACAATAATCATCAGTACAAATTTTAACACTCAGACATATTAAAGAAATTAAGAAGTCAAGAATTACAGTTCAATTCCGTTTAAGAGATGTCTATGTTTCTTGGACATGAGTGCTCCTCCACCCCAAGCTGCATCAACATGGAGCCAAAGATTGTATTTCTTGCACAAATCGGATATAGGTACTAAAGGATCAAAAGCACCGAAAACCGTAGTTCCCGAAGTAGCGGTGACCATAAATGGAGTGCATTTATTATCAATAGCTTCCTTAATTTTCATTTCTAAATCAACTGTATTAATTTTTCCAACATTGTCCGTCTTCACAGTGATGCAGTTGTCGCTACCGATTCCCATAAAAGCAGCCATTTTCTTTGTAGAATAATGAGCAAGCTCGGATGTAAATAACACTAACTTCGGAACTGCATGTACACCTTTATACTGAAAACAATTAATAATCAATTAATTTATATTGAAATAATGGTTGACATCCTACATCATCTGGGCCTATCTTACGTCATCTGAATTTGACGATGTAATGAGGATGATAGATCCTAATATTTATATGACTAATATTTGCAAGGAAAACAATATTAATGCTCGTAATTCACCAGGAAAATAATTAGGGTATTTACTTTTTACATCAATGATAATTCCAAGTAAGGCATATTCTTTTATCAGTTTATTGTCCACAGAGGAAATCTGTTGTAATACCAAATGACATCTTTATTAACAATTTATAAATATTGTGATTATTTTATATGAGTAAAGTTTAATTTACATGAAAAATTACAAGATATAACGGTTATGTTTAAGAGGATTTTGTAAACTGAACGGTGTATTAAATATTTGTCTAATATATCTATTTAATTTTAACTTCCACTTAAAAACTTCTGTGACATTTATAAATATTTATGATATTCTATTATTATTAATTTTTTTGACACGTTATGCAACATGTGTTCTACATCACGCAGTGAGAAGTAACTAGGTTAAGGTAACTAAATATTTCCTTTGTTTTAACAATTGATTCGCAAGTATGGAACAAACTTTATAATTTAATAGCAATTTTATTACTTTATTAAAAAACTCAACGGACCATAATGAACTGCTGTGAAGGACAATGGTAATTACTATTAGTAATATGCAACAAGAGATTGTATGTCGATAACACATATATATTAAAACTTTTAAGAGATTATATAAAGATATAATATTCCTTGCATTTAAATATTAAACACCAAAATATATTGTGTTTAAATTTATATTCCTTAATTAACATCATTGATACAATTATTAGGAAATTATTAATATAAGTCAAGTCAACGTTTAGTTTTTTGTGACCTCAAAGAATAACTTGCGAAATATCAATACGACTTTCATGATTTTATTTATACATATGATTTTAAATATAATATAATATTCTATAGTTTAATGTATAATAAATGAATATTATTTATATTATAAACCAACCTTAACTTCCGGATAAAAGTGGTGACGAGCGCAGCTGATCGCGTATCCATTGGCTATAGAGCCTCCCGGACAAAAGATACCATCGCCCTCCCCTTCCGGCCATCCGACTATTTTACGCATCTCACGTAAAACTTCCTCTTCCATCAAAGTAAAAACTGGTGCAACCTCAAAGGTGTAAACACTTGGGTTCAACGCATCGGTCAACCACTGTCCAACCAGACCGTACGGGTCAACAGATGAGAAGAGTTGATTCACGAAATGGGGGTGACCTGTGTTCACAGAATAACGTGCCACCTGCAAAATGTATTAACCATTCTGATGAATCTGATTAGAATACGATTAATAAGTATTTAATATTTACACAGTAGGTAATAACACATAATATTCAAATGAATTTCGTATTAATTTGAGAAAATTAAAGAAATAATTTAATAACAGAATATGGTAATATAATTTATAAAATATAAAAAGTACAACTGTTTCTTTTAAGTTGCTTAAGTTGTCTATTGATCTAGTCATCCTAGATATAACTTAACAAAAAGAACAATTATGATACAACTAAATATTTAAAAAAAGCAAAGGGCTTCTATTTGATATTATATTTTTATTTGTATTACGGTCCACAGTTTTTGACCTCAAATACATGATTAAGGAATATTGTAGCTAGTACTTACGTTAGTCATGAATGCTAGCAACTCATCATGACTCGCAGGTCCCGATCGAGGTTTAAGGTCAATCGCCTTCTTGATTTCCTCTGGAGCAGCCCACTCCACAACCTTAGAACTCCTCGTTGACCTCCCAAAAACCACCCTCTCTACTAGCAAATCAACCGCTTTTCTTAAAAAATCTTCATGCTTCGATCTCTCGGCTAAACTTTGATATAGATTTTCGTCTTGTTTTTCTTTCGTCACAATTATCTTTGAATCGACACGCATTTTCGTACTTTTCGAATTTATTTCAGACAATTTTCAACTGTACCATTGAATTGGTATGATTTTTTTATAAGTTCGTTCGTTTGCGAGCGGTCTCTGCCATTAGCAGTGCGATTTTGGACCGTAAATGCTTTTGTAGCGTCCTTAAATACTTCGCGTCGGATTCAATTCACTTTATAAGGTTACTGCAGTAAATTGTAATCAAATCAAATAATAATTTATATTTTCAATTAGGGTTGTCAATGTGTGATAAACCTAGAAGTAATTATAAGTTGTATTTACAACTATTTTAGCAATTACGTTAGCAATTCATCTATGTATGGCAAAAACTATATATTTTTTATATCCATAACAGATTATAATGATCACGTTAATGTGTTATATAACTTAGATATTATATCAATGTATTGATTGTTTATTTACACTACCTCGCCTCTGGGTTTATTATTGAATTTTTTATTTAATATATTCATACCCACTCTCCAAAAATAGTTTTTTTTACCTTGAACTCTTATTATAACGGTAATTAGTTGCACTATGGTCAGATTTGACCTTTGTTACATGACTAGTCAACTGCGAATGACCATCGACTTTAATTTGATATGGATGCCAATGGAACAAAGTTTTTGGAATTCATTTCTTTTTCCTTTTGCACTTTTGCAAAGTTTTAGGAACCGTTTCTAAATATAGAATAATATGATGTCTAAAAAAATATAATTATTTGTGTATTAGAAGAATAAGAGGATATCCTATTTAAGCGATTTAAAAATACATTCGCCCATGAAAAGTAAAGAGTACTAATTTATTAAGTAAAACAAAATTATAATATTGTTTTCAAGGTAAAAACAAAAATGTCATCTTCAAAGAAACAATTTCTAAGCATCATAGTAAATTGAACTATCGTTACTTATTTTAAATAACAGCTTTTGCTTTGTCTCAAAGCTTCTGTTGGTATTCAATGTTGACAAATTTACATTTTACTCAAAGCAACATTATAACTAAACAATTTTATTAGTCTCCATTAATCGAATTTTCGAGTAATTGTGTAAAGCTTGATACTGGGCTATCATCCTTTAGAATACAGAAGCGATTGTGATATTTTGTGTTTAGACTTAGAATTGTTACTTATTATCCCGATAATACCTTTCGTGAGAGATAATTGTTTATGTTTTAATTTTATGTTCACTAAGGAAAGGTTATATGAAAAACCAATGTGTCATATTTCTCTGTACAGTTAACTGCCTGTATTTTATATTTACTTTTTTAACTGCCCAACTGTTAAAACTTCATTTTCACCAGGTACTAACAAGGTTTATCGCCGTTACAAATTAATTTTCCTAAAATTTTTCGAATGGTAGTACCTATATTGAAGTGTTATACTCATATAACAGAAATTCTTGGTCCTATTTCTTTTTTATTGATATCAAATCTCATCACTCAGACTGAATGGTATTAGGTTATAGCTATTTAGAACGTTTTTTATTGAATGGTTTGTGAACTAGTTTTATAGTAAAATAAATGAAAATATCCCTAAACCCATTTTAATTACACTAATATGAATCACTTCAGCTACAATTTTAGTTTACTAACAGGAAAATATTGTAATACGGAAAAGATCGAGTAATTCTTGAACATCTCGATCATGCTAACTAAAAAATAACTGAAACATCGGGGGTATGTAGATTTTACAATAATAAAATACGCGTAGTATAATCCGAAAAATATTAGTTTTCAATAAAAAAAAAATTTAATATACGTTTGAATATATAATATATTTTGAGGACTAATAAAATATTTTTTATTGTGATTCACTGTTTTATTATTTTTTATACTGAGCAGCAAGCTATTTCTTTACAATAGTTTAGGTCAAGAGAATAAACTTTATAATCTCAAATTTTATCTATAATTTACTACAATGTAGTTAAATCACTAATTTGTATCTCTGAAATTTTCTGATGACCGACTGATTAAGAATTTATTTGTTGGTTAATATCTCCTTCAGTTATTTATCTTCATTATCTCATCACAAAGATTTTATTGTAATACATTTATGTATAAAGAAAAAATAAAATTAACTCCTTTATTAGGAAAAAAACAAATCCTTGGTTTGTATTCATTTATATAAAAAAAAAATCATCAAACAATTTTATTTGGGACTAAAAACACAAAAAAGTTATTTAATCATACAATTTTCTGAAAGATTACCAAATTACATATAATATTAAATGATTTGTATATTAAAAAACAGCAACTGGTAAATCTAGAATACAATCAATTCTAAGCATTCTGAAGGCTTTAACAGTATAGTAGGAATTTAAATAACTTTCTGCAAGTTTTTAATTCCTAGATATCTTAATTAGATAGAATGACATATTAAATAAAATACCTTTCTCCGCTTTTGTCTGAGCAAAGGACTAAGTCGCTGTTTTTGTAGTAAATTAGTCTTTGATGGAAGGTTGTATACAAATAAATCGTCCATTCACTACCGCTTTACCCGGAACAACCATGAGAAGCCTGTACACATTACTAGTATATGTATTGTTTGCAATGTGTATTAGTGCATTTGGAAAATTTTATTGCAATTGTATGAGTAACAACGGGAAGGAAAGTTTTAGAAATATATGTTTTCTTATTTTATTTAAGACGTACCGTCCTTTTGTCCAATAACGAATATTAAAAATTAAATACAGGTAACAATTTGATCATTCTTTCAATTAACATTGAATTGGATGATTCCTCAATCAAGCGACCCCTTTTATTGGTAAGTTATTTTTAATAAATAAATTCATTGTCAAGGTCAAAACGCAATATATTTTTTAAATAATAAGAACAGAGCTTTCTTCTTAAGTTTAAGTACGTTGAGTATGTTTAATGTTTATTAACAGATAATTTTCAATCAATTTAAATGAAACAATAAATTTTGTCAACATTGTTCCTTAGCTAAACTTTTGAATCATTTTTATTTTCTTTTAATTAAATTATTAATGTTTTCACTTTCTTTTTTGGACGCAAACTAGAAATTAGGTCGCATTTAGACAAAATTTGATCGTTGGCCCTATGTTTATACGATTTAGGAGTTTTATCATTTCTTTCTATTCTTCTTCAACTAAAAATTAGAAAAACGTTTACTAATTGCTTGCAACGATCAACTTATACAAGGTAAATTGTTCTCTACTACTTTAATCCTTCACCGAAGCATCATTGCCACAAAAGTAGAATATAAATTTATTAAGATAGATATATTATTTAGTGCGGTAAATTATACAATAATTATTATTTAATTTTCAGCTAATAAAATATTGGATTAAACTGTGACCTGGGGAAGGGACTTTCCAAACTCAATGACACATATTGAATTAAAATTATTATACTTATTAATTTCCAGCTCCCAATACTGTCTTTCAATTAAAATGGTATAAATGCATATATATTTAAATAAAAGACAGTATACTTTGTTTACTAAAAGTTTATAAAATATAAACTTATTTTTGTTTTTTAAGTTGTGTATTGTGTCAAAAAAGCAACCAAGCAGACAACCTACTAGATAAAAGATAGACATTGTCGTTCATGAACATTGTTCAACACAGCAACTGTTACAGATGAGTTGCCAACATTGATTTTGGAAGATTGTGGAAGGAACTGACCGGAAAAGGGCAACCGGCTCTCTCACTTATCAGACGAAATGCAGCCAGTTGGTTTTTCAATCGAATCTTCTGTGAGAGAGTGATACTCTCCCGGCCCAGCCACCCCAGGTTCAAGCTGTAGTAACTTGACCACAGCTGGGCTCTACCGCCTTACAAAATAGTTACTTAATAATTAAAAAGTAATTTTAGTAAATATACTTCTATATTTTTGACAGTATATGTGTATTTTATATAATTTATTTTGAAAATAATTGAAAGATAACTGTATGATAATAAAACTCAAAATATTATAGCAGTTTATAATAAAAAAAGCTTTAATTCTCACTTAGATTTATTTTTGTCCCAGTTGAAAGTTTTGGGTTAGTAAGATTTACCTAATTTATTATAGTAATTTAAAATGACCAGGAATATATGATTCTTTACCGGTTTTGTATTCAAAACGAATAGGAATATAATCTATATCATTTAAATGTCACTGTCAGAAACGTGTGGACGAAGTCATTTGACAATTTGTTATTTTGGTTATAAAGAGAAAACGTGAGTGTTAGAGTTCTCCAATATAGTTAATTTTATTAATTTTACAATGTCTGACGGTCAATTCAGTGATTATGAAGACGATATATCGACTAAAGTGAAAACAGTTCGAGTAAGTAAAATTTCCTTAAAAGTGAAGCTAAAACTATTTTTTAAGTAGACAATGGTTTTTTTTTCCAATCGCTTATTTTTACAAGATATTTCTATTGAAATTAACTTTTTTACCTACTAAACTACTTACATTATTACTTAAAAAATAGTAACCTCATAATCAAATGTACACTAACAACAATCATTATTTTCAATGTTTACATTTTATAGTGTAAGTTCTAACTCTTAAAAACACTCGATTTAAGTAATAATATCTTTTTTCATTCATAAATAATTCTCAGGTATGTTATTTTTTTTAAATAATACTAAATAACAGTAAAATTCAAAAGAACTTCTATAAATATTTCTAAATACTAAATTTCTTAAATTACAGTTTTCAGAAGAACCAGAAATAAGAAAAATAAGTAGTGAAGAAGAAGAAGAACTTGATTCAGATGATTATTTTTATGATTCAGATGGAGAAGAGCAAACAAATAAGAGAAAGGAGAATATTAATCCACAAAATCCAACTACAAAAGTGAGTTCATACCAACCGAGCGAGAAGCTATTCAAAAGATATATTCATAAAATAAATGTCGACAAATATGAACCCACATACAATGAGAAAACTGAAAGGTTTATGGATCTTAATGACAAGAAAACGGATAACGAAAGAATCAAAATCAAAGATAAACATGACAGAGCAACGGTGGAACAAGTTATGGACCCGCGAACAAAGATGATAATTTTCAAGTTGCTAAACAGGGGAATCATTAATGAAATCAATGGCTGTATATCGACTGGCAAAGAAGCTAATGTTTACCATGCCACCTCAAAAGACGGGAAGGATTACGCGGTGAAAATATTTAAGACATCTATCTTAGTTTTTAAGGATCGTGATAAATATGTCTCCGGAGAATATAGATTCAGGAATGGTTACTGTAGATCAAACCCACGCAAAATGGTCAGGACATGGGCTGAAAAGGAAATGAGAAATCTTGTTAGATTATACAATGCTAAACTGAATGTGCCCGAACCAATAATATTAAGAAGTCATGTATTGGTGATGTCTTTCATGGGAGAGAATGGCTGGCCGTCTCCTAAGTTGAAAGATGTAGAGATTTCACAATCAACAGCTAGGTCGTTGTATAGAGATTGTATTGTTATGATGTGGAAAATGTTTAATATATGCAAATTAGTTCATGCAGATCTGTCTGAGTTTAATCTTTTATACCACAACGGTAATGTAGTTGTTATTGATGTATCACAATCGGTGGAACACGATCATCCGCATGCATTTGAATTCTTGAGGAAGGACTGCACTAATATATCAGATTTCTTTAGAAAAAGAGGTGTTGCAACTTTGACTGTGAAGGAATTGTTTGATTTCATAACTGATGCATCTATTAATGAAAATAATCTTGAGGAGTGTCTTGAAAAACTGTCTGCGAAGGCTGCGTCGAGAAATTTTGAGGAATTGACGGCTCAAGAACAGATTGAAGAGGAGGCCTTTAAGAATGTGTACATTCCAAAGAGACTTGATGAGGTATTACATGCAATAAATCTATATAATTATAATTATGTGTAAAGAAACATATGAATCATCAAATACTTATCTACATAGCTTTAGTTTTTTTTTATTAACTTAGTTCTCTTAATATACTTGTAGGTCTGTACATATATTATTTTTAAAATTATCCATAAAAACTCACTATAATTAAGGTATTTCGCAAAATTCATACAAAAAACCTCATAAATAATAATAAAATTAAATGTTAATTTCAGGTTATAAATTATGAACGGGACATAAACAAAGCAAAGAAAGGTGAAACAGAAGATCTCATATACCAGAAGATAGCTGGGTTCAATGAAGATTTCACCGGGACGGTTGACAAGCCTCAGATATTACAAGACGAAGATGTATCAGGATCTGAATCAGGCAGCAGTGGTGATGATGATGATGGAGATGATGGAGAAAGTATGTAGATTATGATATATCAGATCTTATTATAAATATAAAGCACTAGCTTTCCGCCCGCGTGGAGTTCGGTTATATCGCGTTTCCAAGAGAACCTTTCTAAAGTCTAGGATAAAAGCTATCCTGTGTTCTTGTTCTTTTCTCAAGATCAACTCTATCTCTGTACCAAATTTCATTCAAATCAGTTAAGTGGTTTAGGCGTGAAAGCGTAACAGACAGACAGACAGAGTTACTTTCGCATTTATAATATTAGTAGGGATTATAAAGTTAATACATTATAATGACTTCTGTCTACAAATTTTAAACCTTTATTTTCTTAACAATTCATGACGATACAACGTTTTGTCAAGTATTTATAAAAAAGTGATTATCTTTCTATCTGCAAAAGTTTTTATTTTTACTTCGTCATCAGCCTATTAGAAGCCCTCTGCTGAGCATAGCCACTTCTCACATGGAGAAGGTTTAAGCATTAATCACCACGCTTGCTCAAGACGGGTTGGTGATTTCAAACTTATAATTGTGAAACTATAAGTCCAGGTTTCCTCACGATGTTTTTCTTCACCGTATGTCAGAGATGTCTAAGGCCTCGGCCTCGAATTTTGCGGGCAGCGGAGCGGGAGCGGGAGCGGCAGGATCTTACGCGTATAATCAAATGGACCGACCCTCGAATACAGCGGTGCCCGCTGCCCGCTAGTTTGGAGAATAGTATGCGTTTCCGTGCCGCTCCCGCTGCCGCTCCGCTGCCCGCATAATTCGAGGCCGAGGCCTTAATACTCTCAGAAAGTACATATGACTCCGAAAATTCACATTAGTACTTGCCAGGTTTCAACCCGCGCCCTCGGCAACGAGAGGCGGGCCCTTTAACCACTAGGCCACCACTGACTATTTTTACTTACTTACCAGTAATTTAAACCAATATTTTTATAACAATTTCTGCTGGAAAATGCTTGTACATTTTAATTATTTCTTTTCAGATAGACATATTTCAGTAATATATCTCAAATGACAACTAAACTATATAACATTTGTTACAATTACAGGAACAAAATTTAAAAACAGCGCGCGGCCAAGAGATGAATCACCAAACAGCAAAAAGGCAAGAAAGAAGGCTGTTAAAGAAGAAAAAGCTGAAAAGAGAAAAACTAAAACAAAGAAACATATTAAAAAAAGAAGAGATAAGGCATCTGTTAAGAAATAAATTAGAAGACAATATATTTTATAATTTTCTTAAAACTGTTGTCATATTATCAAGTAGTATAAGATTTGTATATATTTGTAATAATTTTGATTACAAATGTTTATTTGTAAGACTCTTACATGAACTTTAATTAAAACCTGTAAACTGTTGCTTTGTTATTATTTTGTATGTACATATTATAGAAGAAAGAAGAATATACTATAGAAGAAGGTCAAGGTTTTATATGACTATTTAAAATAATGTTCTAAAAAAATATTATTTATAATTTAGGGTAAATTGCTCTTCTCTGATGATTGGGAGTTTAGAAAAATATCTTCAGGGATTCCATAGACATTTTCTATTGTTAATTGACGACAATTTCCCATAAAAATATGATGTTTTTTCTGAAGGTAAAAGCTTCAAAATCATAAAAAATCGCAGCTATTTCTTTCAATGGCACGTTCTAAATACTACACTATTCTTATTTACACATTTAAACATTATATTTAAAGTAATATTTCACATTCTATTTAAGTGCTCACTTATGGAACAATATGTTCATCAAAATTCTTTTATTTCCTTAAAGATTAGATTGTTTAATATTAGGATTCTTACAAATACAATCAACAAGTTATTTAATGCTTAACTTGATTTTGTTTTTAAATAATTAATCACTACAACATATTTTTTCTTTTTACATTTGTCATAGTATAAACTGATTAATGGACGTAGTATGTTTAATTTAAAATATGCAGTGTTTAATTTTAATAATATATAACAATTAATAAGGTAAAAAACATATATTAGTGCTATCTAAAAGATTTCAAAGAAAGGAAATGGGACAAGATTGTTGCTTAGTAGACACTAATTGTAGCTACATCAAAGAATAAAACATAGTATGAAATTACCTTATTTTACTTAAATCAAGTACTCTTTACTTTAAATTAAGTAACAACCGGAAAAAAGAATAAACAGATATGGTCAGACTACAGAAGATGCCAAGACCGATATTAAAAAAAAAAGATAATTTAGAAAATAACTGTGGACATATAAAAAAAATTACAATACAAATTACAATACCAATATAAATTAGAAATGAAAAAAATATTAAATATATGAAGGAAAAAAACTATTAACGAATATAGGTATAGGGAGAATAGTTCCTAGCAAATTCTACAAAAACAAAAGGATATAAATGTGATAGCTATTATAAAATAACTGAGAATATTTTAAACAAAAAAAGCTGAAGATAGATAGGTACTAAAAGTTTTTTACAAATATTTCATATTCTGAAGAAGTATTATGCAATAAATCTATGAACGATATAATACAAAGTTTGGTAGGACAATTGTTTAAACGAAAATTAATCAGACTAAAAAATAATCCGTAAGTAGGTGTCAAAATTAAAATATTTTAACATAACCAAGTATATACAACTGACTGGTGAATTACTATCAATATTTAAGGAGAATACTCGGTACATGATTCTCATTCGAATTATGTAAAAAAAACAATAGATACTTAATTTTTGACCAAATTTCCGTATAAATAAATAAAGTGTGGACACGTTCCAAGTGTTCCAAGTGTGGACGCGTGCGGCGGCGTGCTGATACAACACCACGCCGCCGCACGCGAGTGTGTGTGTGTGTATACCTAATCTGTAGAGTGTTCACACGATGCGTAATTAATTAACTTTACTTAGAAGTTTATTAATATTTATGTTATATTAATTTTTATTTTGTCATATATGATCGTCAAATATCACGTCCTCAAGTATCGATAGTAATTCACCAGTCACCCTGTATATAGATAATGAGAAATTTATGAAAAGTATACCTAGAATAAGGTAACGTGTTTTAATATATTTATGTAAACTTTAAATATTTTAAGATATATTTAATAATAAAAGAAAGCGTTGCGTTATTATAATAGGTTTTTGATATTGTTAATAATAATGTAGTAGGTAACCAGCTAAAAATTTAACTGCCTGTTGGGAATTTCTATGACAATCATAGATTTTTTTAATTATTCATTTAGATAGAAAATGCTTATTGATTACAATTAAATTAGGTACTTAAATTTTTTAATAGAAGCGATGTCGCATGTTCTAACTACATATAAGATATTCAAAATATGATTTTGGTTTTTTTTTCAGACTGATAAAGCTCAGTGTTACTGTTCTAAAATTTGTCGGTTTACCGTGTTAAAATTAATAATTTTTAAAAGCAACCTATTTTTAACCTCACCAAAATATATTATACAAATGTCACATCTAACGAAATAATAAAATTTCATACAATAATATTTTCTATATAACGGGAATCAGTGAAAGAAATAAAAAAATGTATTCATGTAATATATTTTATTTATAAAAGTCAAAACTCCTTACCATAATTTATTTAAATAATATTATTTACAATCACTTTTTTAGGTATACTATATATAAAACGCTTTATAAGCACTTATATAATACTTATGAATTAAATTCATTGTCTTTTTAATACCACTTTAAAAAGTATAAAATATAGCTCCTTGTGGGCTTCTCCGTTTGATTTTTTGCATGACGTCCTGTTTTTTATGACAAATTTTAAATCTCTCACTTCTAACTTTAAGAAATTGACCAAATGGCGACCAAAATGGTTGTCGTTAAGTAAATATTCCGCTCCATTAAAACAAAGTGTCTAAGAAGGTTTTAGTTTTTGTGTAAATAATAGTATAATGACGAAACATTAAAATGCTGGATGATAATACAAAACTCATGTATTTAATGGTTGGATCGTGAGAAAACATACATTTTCATACATTAAATATCATTTAAAATTTTCCCATTTCCCCCATATTATCTTAGAGATATGTTCTTTGGTTTTTACAATAATGCATACGACCATTAGAATGTAACCGAAACAGCTACTATTTACGATATCACACATTTAGTTTGCAGTCGCTATAATTTAAACTACTCATGGCATATCATGTCGCGAAACGCCATCTCAATCCCATGTAACATAGAAACCTCACAGATACCATGATGAACACCATAATCGCGATTTCAAAGTAAACCGAGCTGTTTTCTATATCCAGATATTTCATGAGGACATCGGGTTTAGCGAAGTGACAGTACATTTCTTTGCACTCTAAAGGTTTTCGTCCGAAACCGAACACGGTTAAAACCATGGCGACTACACCGCATCTGATGTATGAAGTCTTCATGATGATGTTCATGATTAACGGGATTCTGTGAGCGAAATCGAAGCCGTAGATCGCCAGGCCGAGGAACGGTGCAATCGCTGCTGGACCAATAGCACAACCGTTCTGTAATAAAATACCATCATATTACTTATTATTGGACTTATTTTATTTTATCTTCAATATAATATTTTAACTCCTACTTTAATTTAACACTAGAATCGTTAATTTTCACTACGATTTGACTTACGAATAGAATACATTAAAATAACAATTTATCTACTTTTTAGTCTTCTATGCCATATGATAATTGCGATAACTACTTTTAACAATACTCAGAAAATATTTTGCAAGAAAGTTACTCTTTATTTTACAAGGCTTTCAACAAACACACTACTTTCACTTCTTAATAATATTATAAGCGTGAAAGTGTATATGTGCGTGTATGAATTTAATACTCAATAAGCTAATAATTGCAACTTTGTTCGAATATAAAAATATTTATATTACAGAAAATACGGAATGTGCATAATATAAAAAATATTCATAAAAAAGAGTTGTATGAGGAAACTGTGATAATATTTTTTTTCATATATAAAGATATCTCCTTTTTCTTATTTTAAATGTAGTACTTTGTCATAATGCTCGCTTTATCACAAACGAAAAAACGAAGGAAAAATTTGAATGTGATTTTGAATTAATCTAGCTATAATTCTTTGCCAGGACAGTCTCTTTTTGTGTCATTCACCTCTGAGATTACAAAGCTCACAAACGAGAGTGAAACAACCAAAAAAAAATAAGAAATAAATAGTGCTAGCATATTTATTATTTAATTAGAAGGTCAACATTCTTTTTTTGCTAAAACACAATGTATGAATTAGGGAAAAGGATCGCATATAGAAACTTAAATGTTAACTGCTTTTTATGTGAATTTTTTAAAAAAAGAAATCAGTCTAAGTGATAATACTAACCGTCACACTAAACATAGATCCGATCGCCATTCCGATGCCCTCAGATACCAAAGATATTATATTTCCAATAAGACAGAACATTACGAATCTCGGTATCGTAAAAGGCACTCCCACCATGAAGAATACTGTGGTGCAGAATATCATGTTTAACAACAATTGTACCGGCAGTTTAGACACCGTTAATGCGGCATAGTACGGAAGTAAGGCGTACCAGCCGTTAAAGTGCTCTTTCTTAACCAATTTTACTTCTTGAGGATCTGAAAACATGAATTAGTTGTAAATAAAAGCTAAGTACTTTAAAGCTAATATCGTATAAATCGCTAATTGCAAAGATTATGAAGGTATTTTCAGATTTTCTTTCTTTCGAATCAAATTTTGTACCATAGGGTTTTTCTTACACATTTTTATGACATCAAATAAATTTACCATCATATCTTAAGGAATTTATTTTGATTTAATATGTTTAAAACATGCAAAATATAATAATCATTGACAAGTATGTAATTGCATAGCTTTTTTATTATTTTTAATCCCAATAGACTACTTACAGACTAAAACGGGGACCATGATTTGTGTATACGCGAAGAATATGACAAGCCCAACGCACATCTTCAAATGATTGAACATTTGGGCGCCATCGTTGGCCGTCTTAAAGAAACATATTCCCACTAATACCGCACACATCACGTGATGAATCGTTTGAATCCATAGTGCTGAAAAAAAAACAAACAATAAAAAATCACGATTATTTTTCTAGTCGCTTTAATTTCTAGGTACTGTAATTCCATCCGTTGACTTTGATCTCATAATTGTGCCATTCGTAACAATCATCTATAAAGGACACATGCAAATGAGTTATTTTAGAAAACAATAGGGTGATTACATTAATCTATGTATAACGGACATATGACGCATCGTTTTAAATGCATCAGATTCATCAAAGGCCATGATTCACGTATGGTCACCCGACCGTAATATCTCGTAAATAGTTTTAATACAAAACTGTGAAATATACCACATATTGCTATTAAATGTTTTGTTCACGTTTTACACCTTTACTTCTTACAAATGATTTAGCAAAAAAATTAATACTAAAATCATTTATTTTTAATGTGATTTATTTTTTGCGGTACTAATAAATTCAGATGAAGTGTTCATCATATAAAAAAAATAAATCACACATTAGCATATATTATTAACAATAAAATTTGTTATGCCAAAGCTGTAGGTATTTGAGTTTTAATTACATTACAAATGTCTCGGTAACTGTATTGCGTAATTAAATAACTACCTTTCAAACGTTTCGATAAACAAGAATTTTACAGTCGTATTAAAAAAAATTCTCACCCTGTCTGTTCCTTGATATTTGCAACAACATTCTTGCTAGAAGTATTGAGAACTGTTGGAAATATGTAGTTGGAAAGCGACTTGTCGACTCTTGTATTTTCATCCACGCTAAAGACGAATCATCAGTTGACATTCGACTTAATGAAATCGTTGAGTTACTAGGCTCATTATACTGTTGTACTTTATACGTGCATTTCTCATTTGACAGCACTATTTCAGTTTCCCCGCTCTCATCTTCTGTTTGATAGCAGATCTTAAGCTCTATGTTGTTCATGGGTTCACTAGTAGTTGTTATATTTTCTAATTTTGATGATTTATAAATTTTTCCATTTAACGTTTCGTTGCACATAATATTCACGTTTTCAGGATTTTCCGTTACTTCGATAACTAGAAAAAATATATAAAAAAATTAAATTGTAATGTTCATATATTAAGATTTAATTAAAGAGAAAATTATCAAGACAATTCTATTGTTTAACTCATCAAATATGGTTTTGAACAACAAAAAAAATCACCAAAATGATTAGGTTTGAGAACATCATTACATACAATATAATTGCATGTACCTTCTTTGTGGGAGTTATTTAAAAATAATAAAGTAATTAAAACTGTTTATACTTTTATGGATATAATGTTGCAATTATTATCAAACACTTAACTTACAAAGTTTTTTTTAAGGTCACGTTATGTTACAATAAATTATGCATATAAAAAACATGAATCATAAATTATTTTTAACAATATCTAGTTAAGGATTACAGAAACACAAAAAAGAGCAACAAAAAACAAAGAATTACTTTTAAGTAATCCGTTATAATAAAATGTTATGTTAATTAATCAGAACAAAAAATTGTTAAGTACAAGCCAAAAACTATCAAAAAAAAATATTCTTCATTTAAATATAAAATAGTTGCATATCTGTTAGGAAAAAAAAATCTACCTCTACGACTAGTAAAAATTAGTAGTAGCAGTTTTCAAGACGTCAGTTTCTTTATATGTATGTATGTATATAGTAATGCTTACTAAAGTCTGCAGGATTGTGGTGTCTCGGACAAACAAGACCAATGCTTCGTAGATGTGGCACCATGGCTTCGGTATCTCCTTGGTAGATACAGCGACCATCTGCTAATACGTACGCCTGAAACATTATATTTATATTATGCAAATAATATTTCAAAAGTAACCATTTCAATATCAACACAAATTGGATAGTAACTTTCCAGGAAACTAATTGTACAATAAGAAATTTTCCGAGATTCTGCGCAATATGTATAATTTTGTGCGATTAAGAGGTATAGAGGGATTTCCGTCATGTTTTATGCCATGATTTTGTTAACAAACTATTAAGAACCAAGAATCAAAACCTCAAAGTATATTTCTGCAAAAAGAAATATTGAAATTGATAGTTCGATGCTCTTTTGGAATATTTGAAAATAAAAGCACAATTGATGAAAAAAAAATCAAAGAAAACATTCTATGGCAAATGAATAGCAGAAGTCAACGAACCGTAATTATAATGTCTCATGCCACAAGTGGTGCTGATATGTGGCTAAAGATATATTTTAATCTTCAATATCTTCTTTAACTTGAAATTATATGAGGCACTTGACATACATACTGTCGACTGTCGAGTATTATTAAATTAATATTAAACAAATAACATAAAGAAATAAGAATTGTTATAAAAAAACATCGCTCTATCCTCTTTAGTTAAAAAAAAACAAATTTTCAAGGTGTGATTAGACTTTTTTGTTCTTTTTTTATTGATTAAATTAAATCAAAACTACTTCATTCAATTTAACAGGATATGATTATAACTTACTTTTTTTAATAGTTATATGCCTATTGTATTATGAAGTGTTAAAATTTTTTCATTAAAATATTCACTGAATATTTTAAACAAAAAACGTCGTTCAAATGTATATTTTTTATACGCTCTGTGAACCATTTGGTTATTATAACAATGTTCCAAGTAAGTATTATCATCGTCAATTAAACTGAGAAGGTTTCAAGGTTCAACATTATAATGGTTATATTTTAATAATTATTAATCAAAATCTTGAGGAAATCCAATTTAAGGATGACATGCACTCTTATTAGGCTTATTCTAGACGTATTTGCAAGACAAATTCTCGCAAAGTAGTACATTAAGACCTAACAGGTATACATTTGCAACTTGATTAAGAAAATCGCGAGCTGCTTTCAGGATATCTGAAAGAAATAGTCGAAATGTTTGTAAACGTTGTTTTCTTGACGTTCAATCTTAACTAATTTAGTTTAATTAAATGCTTTATTTTGTCTCCTAACATTTGAATTCAAAAACCATATAATATTGCACAAAATAGTTGGTTGATCTTTGGTGATGACGTAGATAAGTTTGCGATAACATGAGTCTACTAAGATCTATTCTTTGTACGTATTTATATAAATAATTAATATTTGGACTGAAACAACAAATAAATATTGGAAAATCAAAATATAAGAGAGAATCAAAGTAATTAAGTTAAACAGTGCAATAAGAAAACAGACTTTAAAATTATAGTATTCTTTTAATTTCGTAATAATTTTAGTTTTTAGGGTAATTGTTTTATTAAAATTAGTAAAATTATTATATTCATACATGTTTTATATTTAAATAGATGTTTGATTTAAGCGTACTTTGATTAAGATCACTTCAGCAATCATTAGATTATATTATACTTTGTTATTTTGGATAGTTTTTTTTTATAAGTTCGTCGATTTTACTAAACAAATTAAAAAGTAAGTAAAGTAGGGATCATCCGAATTCCAAAACAATCTTCAATTTTCCGTTATTTTGTGCTTGTCAATATTTAAATTTTCTTTCAATATATACAAACACAAGATTAATCATTTCTTCGAACCCAATGGTTATCTACAATAAGATAATTCAACAACATTTTCCACGAGAATTCCCCATCATTCCTAATCACTATTTCAACATAATTCCCTGTAATATTATCTAAAAATAATTGCAGTAACGTTTAAACAATGAAAAATTGTACACGCAATGGCAAATTATTATTTAATCATGCAAATGTTACTGCAGGCCATGCGTGTCATCACATTTATCTATGAAGTGTATCGTAGTGTAAATATCCTTCATTATAATGTATTTTGACTTAGACAAAAACGCACGAAGAAGAATTAGATCAACCCTCGCATTTATAACCCTAGCACTAGGTTTTATAACCCTCGCATTTAGAGAACATAGTCAGTGTGATATGGGAATATTCAACTTATATGCAGCTTAAGACTTTATGTTCTAACTTCTAATGTTACCAAGATAGTAAAAAAAAACATTTTTCTTTAATGATGTTCTCTATTGTATAGAAACTATCTCCTCATCAATTCAATGGAATACCCATTTGATAATATTATAGGTAAAAAATAACAATAATACTGATATGCTAGAAACAAATAAAAAAACTGAAAGTAAAACCTTATAACACATAACGGGATTACTTCTCTTAAACTTCCACTTGCTTTTTCTTAGAATAACATCTATATTACAATCAACTTACATTATCTAGAATAAAAACAATGAATTAATATAATTTATTGATAATTTTCTCGTTAATATTGACATAAATTTCAATATAATTTGTAACACGTACACAGCGACGTTTTGACATAACAATGAAACTTGTTATAAATCATTTAATTATTACAACGATAAATAATTATGACATTAATAGTTTTGACATCGCATTCGTTAATAATACGTGTATCTAAGTAAAAAATAATATATAAGGAAAATGGATATCTATACAGTATACTAATCACTTGCCCAAGTAGCGTTATTTAATAACTTTTCAAAATAATTCTTCGTAGACGTATCAAATCGTAAAACCAATGAATTGTAAGCAAAAAAAAGTATGAACTTCGTGCAATCAGTTCAGCCGTTTTTGTTGATCTAACTATAACTGTTCAATATAGTTATTTTATTTTTATATAACTAGTTTGGTTTCGGTCTCAAGGATTTTATTGTTACCTGATACGATATAAATCTATTGTCAAAAATTGTTTTATAATTTATTCGTTTAACCTCGTTGGTATTAGTTATAAATAAAACATTCTTTTGTTATGGTTTACAGTGCATATAAATACATAAAACCAAGAGGGACCAATAGAACTAGATGATTTCTACAAACCCTAGTTTAGGTATATTTTTAAAAGTAAAATTTATAGAAATTTGACTTGTATAATTAACTATTCAGAGTAAGCAATAACTGTTTAAATATCTTATCAATTAGCAATTGAATTCATATAGATGTAAAGGTGTTATATTTACCACCATTGATATTATAGTGATGAATTTATTAGAATATTAGTATAATTAAATGCAACAAAATAATAAAAAATAAAACAAAATATTCTAAATGAATTAAAATTTCAATAATTCGAGACCTTTTATCTACACAAATAAATAGTTACCAACAAAGAAAAAAAGAAACCAAAATGTTTTATAAAATCTTCTAATGTCTTAATTTCACCTCGCTTACATTATTAACTAATTATTTATTTAACAAAAAATAACAAAATTTCCATCGTTCAATAACAACACATCGGAGTGTAAAGTTTAAAATGAATGCGCATACATTTTAATATGTATAACATATTTAAAATGATGAAATAAATGCAAATCGATTAAACTTACATCCATTTATTACGAACAACGAAGTGTTCATTTATTGTATAATAAATATATCAACCCAACAAAACCGTCATTATTATAAAATAAATAATTATATCTGCATAAATGGGTATTTAAATATAATCTTATCTGACAATAGGGAACGATGAGAAGCCTCACAATGAATAAATTAAGCGAGATAGAAGATCAATTACATTTTATAGACACATAATCAATTGTTCTAATGATTAAAATAGTCTTGCCATCAAGGTTTTAGGTATTGTGACTGCATGACTGAGTGTACTTGTAAAATATATCCACATTTAATATCACAAAGGTAATATAACTAGCAAAATAGAAATAGAAATAGTTGTAATAAAATTTAGATTTACGTGCAATTATTTCAAAGTGTAACCTTACATCAAAAACTATTTACGAGAAACGCGCAAGTTAATCTTGGTTAAATGGAAACTTCTTTATAATTAACACCAATTCAGAATGTGTTTTCATTGTCATTTCACGTTAAATAACATGTTTAATATTAAGTGATAACATAACTATGATTACAATTATTTATAAAAATGTAATTAAACCTTCGACCCACTTAGAAATATGAAGAGAACTAGCCAAGACAAATTCAACGAGCCCATTCTCGATGGGTTTACTAAAAGGCAGTCCAGGGTTACGTCTCCTATATTCGAGCCCTAACAACAGACCAGCTCAGTGGTTGTCAGTGACTCAGCACATATGCTTGCAAGCAAACTGCGTGTAACATTCCTATCACATCTAACTAACGACCTAATGACCTTGAAGACCTGAACCGATTTAAATTTCAAACAAAAAAACTTCATTAAAATCAGATCATCTATTTGGGAGCTACGTTGCCTTAAACAGACACATACACACACTGACACACACAGACTACACAACTTATAACACCCCGTCGTTTTTGCGTCGGGGGTTCAAAATATATGTATGTACATAAGTTGATAAACTCATTAATGATTATTATACATAATTCAAGCTCTCTGGAGAAAAATATAAAAACTTTTTCTCATATGGGAAGTATGTTTCAATTACCTGAATTTTTTTGCATTATCTTTAGGTTACTCAATTACTTATGGTCTTCCTATTATGTGGCGTAAAGTTTGGTGTCAACCTTGTAGTCCGTACAGAAGAGAAAGTTTTATGTTTTAAAAAGAAAAGGACATTATTTTTTCTAGATATTAATTTCTCACAAATTAGGTTTCATGTAGAAAAATATTAAATAATGCCCATTTTTAATATTCTTAGCGATGAATACGTTATATGTAACAAAAACAGCACATAATGTGTGCAAACATAATTGACTGCGCAAATAATAATAGCTACTGTTTGTAAAACATTCCCATTATGTTGAGACTTTTGCAATGGATAAAGTCATTAGTCGATTGCAAAAGTATTGGCTTTTGCAATTGTTGCAATAAAAGCTTGCAATACACTTTAAGTTGATATTAATATATCGAATGGGCGAATCTTATAAAGATTAAGAAAAGCTAAAGCTGATATTATTAAATCTAGTTCTACTATTATTATTTTTTTCTATACTTCGTAATTAACATTTTAATTAGTTTTGTCAACTTCAAAAGATTTATACATGTATGTATATAAATAATAATATTACGTTTGCTGCATAGTTCTTTTAAGACTATTACGCTTACACGTTTAACCATTAATTTGATAGTAATTAGATTTTAAATATGAGAATGCTCAGTTTTTGTAATAAGAAATATCATCTAACAGAAAATTCATAAGATTGCAAACTTGTGCCTTGATTAAATAATCTTATATGAAATGATTTAAAAAATTACTGATAAACCCTAAAGCTATAGAAACTTAAATGTTTTGTTAAAATGATATGTAGGGATACAAAACAAAAGTCCGAAAAAACATAAGTTTATTCAACTCGTTTACCAAAATTAAGATGAGCGGGTATGATCCTTTATAAATATACACCGAAATATTAAAATTTCAATTTATTGCACATTTATTCCAACAAAAAAATATTCATATATCTTAAAATAAATTTTCGTTTTCGTTTTTATATATAGAACCTTAAAAAAGTGTTACTAAAAATACGAGTATCTTTTAAATACTGAAAAGGATTATGATTTACATATGTACATAAAGAGATTATAACAACCACATAAGGCTTATAATTAATGCCGAAGCTAAGCCTTGAGCGTCAACTTTTCTTTATTAGGAATAGACATTGACAAACAATTATTAGAATGTCACATATTGTAACTGTAGCACAGTATAGTTAGGTAATATTACGAATAAAATGTAATAAAGATACACATTTGCCAAGACGTTATGTTCGTTGGGATTGCTACTTTTTACGTAACACTAACTCACTTAAGCAGCAAGTATGCAGCAATAATACATATGACGTCATTAGTTCAAACCCTAAGTAAATACCTGATCAAACATTTCGAACAGAGAAGCCGGTGGCTGGTGGATAGTGCACACAACTGTTCGTCCTTGCCTCGCCAACTGCTTCAACAATTTCACGCACTGCAATGTTGTGACTGTGTCGAGACCGCTAGTTGGTTCATCCAAGAAGAACACCGGTGGATTATTCACCAGCTCCAGAGCTATAGATAATCTGCAGAAACATTATGTCCTATGAAAATTATAATTATAACTAAATACATAATTACATAAGGATTTATTTGTAACAAAACTCAATTATTACGCCATGTTAACGACCGGTTACTTAATGGATAAGTAAGCGAAATAAATCAAGATTTCACTGAAAATACTTCCGTAAAGTAAAATAGTTTTTGTATCATTAGGTGCAGCGATTTAAATTACCTTTTCTTTTGCCCTCCAGATAATAAATCAGTTTTTGTATGTTGGTGTTCCAAGAGCCCGAGTTGTTGCAAAATTTCCTCTGATGGTATTTTAACACCCCTTGGTAGCTTGAATTTGGCTGCAACGTCCATAGCTTCGCGCACCGTGAGCAATGGCTGGTGAAGATCCTCTTGTGTGATGTAACAGGATGATCTCTTGAACTGCTGTTCATCACGTGCTTGACCGTTCACCAGCAACTCACCTGTGACTCCAGCTGACCTGGAAAAAAAATTTGTTATAGTTCTATAATATTACGCCCTAGTAAAGATCTCAGATGTTTAAGCTAAACGCAAATTATTGCCCAACCGTACTAGTCATATTATTGATAAATCTAAGCACTTATCCAACTATTAATGACCATGTTTAGCAGTGGTTTTATTTTCGAAATCTATCATGGGCTTTCTCAAATACCTAGAAGCATTCCCGATACGCCGATACGTATGCAATGGTTTTGTAGTATTTTTTGTGCAATCTGAACTCTTAACACAAAATCATTAACAACATAGAAACTGAATGTTGCAACGTTTTTATATGTCAATACTATTTGTCAATGAAGATCTATGTCTGAAAAATCTCTGAATTGACGGTATTCAATTTGTAGTTGAAAATTCATACTTAGGCTACTGGTATGATTTCCAGTAATTTCAATTTCCATTGACAATAATTTTACAGGCAAGTGATATTATAATTATGAAAATGGTTTAAAGAGGATAAAAATATTTTAATACATACTTGTATCCAGATATAACATTCAATAGAGAACTTTTGCCAGCTCCTGAGGGTCCCATAATAGCTATGAGTTGTCCGGACATAAATCTGCCACTCACGCCTTTTACGACTTGCTTGCCCGGACCTGTAAACAATACAATAATATTAAAATCATAATTCAATAGGAAACTATTTAGTTTATACAAATACACCGAGTATTTGTAGGATAATTTAGTGCCAACGATATTATGAATATGTATATTTTTGTCAAATTAGTCTAATATACATTTAAACGAGCTTCAGTATCAAGAGACATAGTTTTTTATCAATTTTATTAATAGTAATAAATATCAAATGTCGTTATTCATGTTCAAACATCGTTTAACGCAATTATTGTAACTTAAGTCTATTGGAGACGTATATTGTAGAATATACATAATATTAATTTTTAATAGCGTATCTTGCTTATAAATCGTTCTGTATAAAAGAAAGTCGTGTACACTATATATAACTCAAGAACTGCTGTACGAGTTTGGCTGAAAATTGGTGAAGAGATAGCTTAGAACAAGGGAAAGGATATAGGCTACTTTTCAACCGATTGCCAAAGAAAATTCCTCCGGTCAGCTATACATTTCTAATTCTAAAACTAACGCAGACGAAGTCACGGGTAAAAACGAGTTAAATATACATGGAATCACAATAATCATAGACATAACTAAAATACTATTGAATTTAATTTAAAATATGATTAATAATGTTAGTAGCAACTAGCAGTAGTATGTAGTAGTAATAATTGTAAGAGTAATGGCAGGACAAAAGTAGTAACTTATATAAGTAATATATTAATAACTTATACTGTTCAAACACTATATACCCTTAACATTTATATTTTTTACTAAACAAAATCTCATGTAATAAAAAACACAGTTATTATAAAACGGAAGAACTGTAGTAGTTTTGTTAATATTTTATATAATCCTTATATAAATATGTATTACACACATTCTGATAAAATTATCATGTAATACATTACAATGTTATAAAATACACAATCTTTTTTTAACATATACCTATAAATATAAATATATATATTGAATGATTAAAGAAAGCACAGCTCAATGATAATTGTATTAATCTATTACTTAATCAGCGTTCGCCAGTTGCCAGGTATAAAATATAAAAAGCGGTTTTATATGGAAGATATATTAAGGACAAAGAATTCATAAAAATATGTTTATCTTCAATCAATTAATATTCACATCAGATATAATCATCCAAAAATATATTCTGATTGATAAAAATAAAAACAAATGAAAGTTAATGATGTTAAAAGTTTGTTTTTGATATTATGTGTCTTCTTTATATAATTTGATTAGTAATAAATTATAATAATTTGAATTGAAATTTTACATGTATAGGCGGATCCGACACGTATTTGCAGCTTTATTTTTGTTTATTTTTTTATTATTATGTTATGATTCTACTTAATTCATCCTATTGAAATAAAATACTCATTAAAGATCGGATTAAATTTTTTTTTTCTCGATATTCCATTTATGAAAAAATTTATTTTTAACCGCGATGCAGATAAAACCAATTTAAAAATACTTTCAAATAAAAATTATACTACGTCTTTTCTCTGTCAAACGTTTCAAAGTTATGTGGAGATATTTCATGAAATTGTGATGAAAATCATATATAAAAAAGAAATCAGAATAATAAAAAAATAATAATATTTCATTGAGTTTTTGGTATGAAAATTTTACCTGCTTATCTAAAATTCATAATTATATTCTTATAGTATTGTTACCTATTATAAAGCAAACTTTTTTTATCTTTAACTGAATTTATTAATTAGAATGAATTAATTAAATATTTTTAACTTGTATTTACATAGCAATTCCTCATAATTCGTCATCTAATAATAATTATGCCGCGTACAAAAAAAAATTGAATATGAAGATTTTCCTTTCCGTTCCGCAAGATCATTGATATTTTATCTTCAATAGAATGATTTGATTTTTAATTTTTATTTAACATATTGTGCTATCTACCGTTTTAGATATTTTTATATTTTATTTACATAGAGCATTCTACAAATTAAATAATTAATTGTGAAGAGAAAGATTGTAATTTTTTGGAGTTTAGAATTATAACCATCAGTGATACTTGTATGTAGATAAGTACAATTATAAGCTCTGTCACCTGACTTCATGCTTTAAACAACTGTTATGCCGTAACTCTGCGGGAATTATATGCATTGAAAGGATAAATTATAGCTTTAATCTAAGCTACTTTACTACAAAGGTTCATCAAAAACAGATTTTAGAGCAATAAACATGCATACAAAAATACATTCATATAATATTAGAACGATAAGAAGATCAACCGTATTTCATAAGACAAAACAAATTATAATTAACTAGCTTTCCGCCCGCAGCTTCGCCGCGTGGAGTTCGGTTATATCGCGTTTCCAAGAGAACCTTTCAAAAGTCTGGGATAAAAACTATCCTATGTTCTTTCTCAAGGTCAACTCTATCTCTGTACCGAATTTCATTAAAATCAGTTCAGTGGTTTAGGCGTGAAAGCGTAGCAGACAGACAGACAGACAGACAGACAGACAGACAGAGTTACTTTCGCATTTATAATATTAGTAGGGATCAATGACAAAAAGTCACTCAAACGAATTGTTAACAAGCAGGTCAAAATCAAGAAAAGAGTATCAAATGTTTTAGTGCGATTTCACTTACAATAATTGAAGCAATGATAACAAAATATTTTTTGTTAATTTTGCAAACAAGTTGACAAACAATGTTAGGTTGCGTGCACTAGTTATTGAAGACTTGATAACTTATTATCTCATATTCTTTAGACACTTCATAATAACAGTTTAGTGGATTATATTAATATTTGTAGTTTTTTAACAGTATCGTCAATTCCTTCAAAATCTGCCTTATATGTATAAAAATATATCGTGTGATTAGATACTCTTGTAGATTTGAGAAAATAATTCAACATCATCACTTGTTATCAATGTTCTAGCTCTATGGAAATCTGTGGCAACGAAATAAAACAATTCACTTATTGAGATAACTCACTAAGACTTTCGCGAGTATTCTTTAAAATAAAGCTAATATTTTTGGATCTACTAGGCGTTTTTTTATTATTTTAACTACATAGTCCCGAAGTTTCGGTTACTTTACAGCCACGGCGATCACGGGCAGATTTTTTATCTCGTCTATAGTAAAAAAAATAAAAAACGAGTGGTAATTCCGAATATAATAGTTTTATTTAAACAATTCACTTATTTTATTATAGTATTGGATTGGTAGGCATATTTTTTGTTATTCTATATGACCTAGTCCACAAATATGCAACCTAACCGTTATGGGCCGGGTGTAATGTCCTAGGTGCATCGGTCGTTGGCCCGTAATTACTATGCACTGGAAATACAATCCAGTGTTTTATTTATAGTAACCAAACTGGGGTATGGGTACAGTGAATCTATTGGTACCAGAGCCAGTAACATACTGATGACCCAAGTTTTCGTATTTATATACTTAATTTTTAAAAAAATAACATTAAAATGATTACGAAAACTATGTAATAATTTTCTGGGATTAAATATCGTATAAACTAGGTCACTTAGTTTTTTAAACAGAAGCTAAACTTCATTCAAATAAGTCCATTCGGCAAGTTGTAAATATATCAAAGAGAATATACATATATATAATATATTTTGTTACTGAATATTTTTTCCCACTACAAAGCTTTGTTATGTCGACCTTGAACGAAATCCTGTTAACACAAATTGACAGGTTATTATTATGCATAATACATATTTTTTTGAATCAGTTATAAATTATCTTGTTGTTTTTTTTTAATTTTATTGTTAACGATTAAGCATGTGAAATATAATAACATATCAACAAAGATCATCGTAAAAAAATAATCTTTGAACGCTTGTGAGAGATCTAAAAGTACCTACTACTTATACTACTTGTTCAACACAAGTATCTTCACACTACATACGTTTCCCGTTTCTCATTCAAAACCCGGAATATGTCATAGTTGACGAATAATTATGATTGAAAAACTGTTTAAGCTTCCACGTAGTTGCAAGCGCATACAGCATTCAAGCAATTTATGCTCATTTTATGATAGATTGGTAACATTAACAGTCTTTATTCAAGTCGATGATAAAGATAAAAGATAAAAAAGAGTTAGACAAAAATTATAAAGTATATTATATTTTAACTTATAGTTAGTTCTGGTACTATCTTTATATTCATGTACAACCGTAGCCATTTTTTTTTTTTTTTTTTTTTTTTTTTTTTTTTAACGAGGAGAATCTTTCAAAGACTTCCCGCCGCGGGGGAAACACGGCGGGGGCGTGTGGGATTTCCACCCACTAAACTCCTCGGCGTTCTCTGCGCAGTGCGTAGGCTAGTGAGCGGGAACGGCGAGCCATGCTTCCGCTCACTACGCACAAGTCCCGAAAGGGACTCCGCCATCGGCAGGGGTATCAGTGGCTAGACCACACCACCCCTCCGACTCAAGAGCAGCGTGCCGGGAACGCCAAAACACGCCGCTCTTACTCAGGCCTATGTTACCCGGACGCCGGTTCCCCACCGACGCCCGGAGGCTCCTCACTGGGGAGGCAGGTCGCGGGCATATGCCCGCTGCCTTCGACCCAGTCTACGTCGACGCAAGGGCGCCGAGGAGGGGTCGTCTTCCCGTGCACGTTCTGCGGCCTCTTTCCGCGACATCACGTGCTCGCAGAACTTGACCATCGCCTCCCAGGCCCTCTCGCTACCGACCATGGCCTGAACCACAGCCGGCAACGATAGGTCTGCGCCAACCACTGTGGTGAGCTGGCGACGCTCTACAGCCCACGCAGGGCACTCCGCCAAAGTGTGATCGGCCGTGTCATCCATGCAACTGCAATGGTGACACGCCGCAGTCGACTCTCTCCCGACTATGTGGCACAGATACCTCCCGAAGCTACCATGCCCCGAGAGGATCTGCACCAGCCGGAAGGTCAAGGAACCGTGTCGGCGGTCCACCCACTCTTTAAGGAGCGGGCGAATAGCCTCCACGGTTCGCAACCCGGCCACTGGCTCAGAGAGTTTCCGCCTCCACCGGCGAAGCAGTAAGGCGATCAAGGAGCGCCGCCAACCTT